AAGGAAGGAAGAAAGAAAGAAGAAAGAAAGAAAGAAAGAAAGAAAGAAAGAAAGAAAGAAAGAAAGAAAGAAAGAAAGAAAGAAAGAAAGAAAGAAAAAAACTGAATACACAAATATGGATTTGGTCCTGAAAAATGCACTTCCCCACCTTTGCAAAGGACAAGGACAACACGTGTAGAACACTGCATAAAATGTCTGTTAGTTTTGCTTTACTGCTAATTTTTGTTCCCTTTTTAATTCTTTGTTATAAAGGATGGCTCTCAGAGGAACATATTGGAAAATGCAAGGGACATAAGAAGATGTTAATAAAAACTTTTAAATAGAATTAGGATTTGAACTTAAATCTCCCAAGCCAATCCTCATCCCACTATACCTTACAGCTTCTCCTCTTTGTCATATTATATCATGTCCTTTACATAAAATATTGCACCCCTTTCTCAAACAAAAACAATGCACCAAGGCATTATCCTCAAAAAAAAAAAAAGTAAAAACTATGGTGCAGCCAGGTGGCACAGTGGATAGAGCATTGGCCCTGGAGTCAGGAGGACCTGAGTTCAAATCCGGCCTCAGACACTTGACACTTATTAGCTGTGTGACCCTCGGCAAGTCACTTAACCCCATTACCTAGCCCCCCCCCCAAAAAAAAAATCAAAACTTGCTAACATGTCCAAGTCTTTACAGTGGCAGTAGAGAGCCACAGAGTAACCCAAAATCCTTTTTATATAACTATTTATTTAGTAAGCATATGGCATAGAACAAGAACTGTGCTAGTGATTTGTTCTCTTCCATTACTTTTAAAAGAAAAAAGAAGCCACAATTACTCATTTTCCTTTATTTTGCAACCTATTCAACAATAAACTTTAGATAAATTATGTGTAACTATTTTCATGGGAAATAGGCTATATAATTAAATTAAAATGTAAAGATAATTTTAAAACTTCACTTTACCCACGTTTCCACCTCTTTTTTTCTCTCAAATCTTTAACTAAAACTACTAATTTGAGCTTCACCTCTTCTCTCTTCACCTGTCAGAGTGAAAGATCCAAAAGACATAAAACATGAAAGACAAGAAAAGACTAAAGATGGAGAAAACCCACCATCTGTATAAATCAACCTTTGAATAAATGAGGGGACTGCCATTGACCCAATCCACATTACAAGTACTAGAGCCAGAACTGGAGCTAGATTGATATGAGACTATGCAATTTGAGATAAAAAGTCCATTTGCTCAGTTAAAAAGAATGCCATGTTGGTTTCAGTGGAATGCTGTTCTTACAATATCACTTTCTTAGGATTTAAAAGATCAAAAGATGAAACAGCTGTTCCACAGTCTTTCTGTAGTGAATTTGCAAGGAAGAACAAGTCCTCTGAACCCAGCAGAGACAAAGTAGGAGGTTTCATAAGACTGATGACCATACTATAAATTTTGAAGAGATAGTCCATATTTCAAGAAAATTAATAGGGCTTCATAAGAGGAATATCATTTATAAGTCTATGTGTCCTAATTTTTGGTTTAGAAAATAGTTACCATCTATGATGTACATTCACAACCATCATACCTTCACTCCAACTTGTTGTGTTTGGGTTTGCTTTGGTAGGTGATACAAGAATTTAAATAGGTTTTATGGCAGAGATGATGAGGTAATTAGGGGTAAGTATAAGGAGAGTTTGAAGGGTTGTTGTTATTCACTGACAGAAAAATAAAACTGAATATACACCTCATCTAAAACATTAGTACCCCCTACATACAACAAAACATCACAAAAGTTTGGATGTTAGGTGAATGAGGAATTTGAGGACACATTTGTTGTATGGGATTATTTGTCATAGCAAATTCATTGTGATAATCCAATAAAATACTTCCATAAAGCATGGGAATTTTTTTTTATACAAAACCCTTTCTTGTAATAGTCAACAGATTTTCACCTTTAGCTATTTCTACACCTATAGTTAAATTATATGATTAAGAAATTAGGAATAATTATAATATCTGGAACTGACCAAACACTTCATCTACCAAACCCTGGGCATTTGCACTGGCTATTCCTCATGCCTGGAATTCTCTCCCTCCTCATATGTACCTCCTGGCTTCCCTGGTTTCCTTCAAGTCCCAGTAAAATTCTGCCCTTCTGGCAAGAGGTCTTTCCCAATCTCCTCCTCTTTTTTAAAAACAAGTTTTTGTTGATTTCTTCTGTTTCTTATATTATCATAGATATCCCAATTATTTCTCCCCTTTCCCTATCCCAGAGAGCCATCTCATATAACAGTATTTTTAAAAGAGGAAAAAAAATTAGTACAATTGATCAATACATTAAAAAAGCCCAAAAACACATGGAATATGTTAACACATGTGGACCCCCACCTCCAGAAAGGGGTAAGGTAGGGGGTGTCTTCTCATCTCTCTTTATTCAAATCGTATTTGACCTTCATAATTTTGTTACATTCACTTTTGATTTTTTGGCATGTTATTTCCATTTACATTGTTGTAGTTACTGTATATATTGTTTTCTTGTCTCTGCTTACTTCACTCTACATCAGTTCATACAGACATATAGAGCTTTCATGCTTTCCTGGTTTTATCACATCATTTCTTTCAGCACAGTAATATTCCATTGCATTCATGTACCACAATTTATTTAGCTATTCACCAATCAATGGGCACCTACTTTGTTTCCAATTCTTTGCTATCATAAAAAGTGCTGTTACAACTATTTCGGAATAAATGGGGTCTTTCTTCTTACCAATGGCTTCCAGTAATGGGGTCTCAAGTTCAAAGGGTATTTTAGTCACATAATTCCAAAATGCTTCCCAAAATGGTTGTACCATTTCATAGCTCCACCATTGTGTTATTGTGCCTATCATTCCATATATATTCCAAAGTTGACTGCTGCCATTTTTTCAATCATCTTTGCCAATTTGCAAGATATGAGGTGAAATCTTTGGGTTGTTTTGATTTGTATTTCTCTTATTATTAGTGTTTTAAAGCATTTTTTCATGTGGTTATGAATACTTTGTAATTCTTCCCTTGAGAACTGTTTTTCCATAGCTTTTGACCATTTATCTATTAGGGAATGGCTATTAGACTTATATTTCTCTATCTTAGATATCAAACTCTTACCAGAGAAATTTGATATAAAGACTTTTCCCCCCATTCTACCACTTCCCATATCTTGAGGGCATTAATTGCGTATGTGCAGAAGCTTTTCAGTTTCATGTAAATCAAAGTTATCCATTTTATCTTTTGTAATTGCCTCTAACTTTTTTGTTGTTGTTGTTAAGAATGCATGTCCTACCCATGGCTGTGAGAGATCCACAACCTGCTTCTCTTCTAATTTTTTGTTATGATCTTTAAGGCTGTGTATCCATTTAGAATGCATTGTGGAATATGTTGTAAGGTGTTGATCTATCCCTAATGTGTGCTAGATTGCTTTGTATTTTTTCCCAGAAGTTTTTAATCAAATAAGGAGTTTTTTCCTAGGTAACTTGTTTTCCACTTTATCAAACACTAGGTTATTAAGTTTCACTGTTTCCGATTTTCCCTTGTCTAATCTATTTCATGTTTCTCTGTTTTCTAACCAGTACTGGATGGTTTTGATAACTGTTGCTTTATAATATAGTTTGAGTTATGGAAGTGCTCTTCCCTCTCTGTCCTTACTTTTTTTCATCACTTCCCTTGTTATTCTAGATCTTTTGTCTTTCCAAATTAATTTTGTTATTATTTTTATCAAATTCTATATAAAATATCCCCTTAGTAATCTGATTGGTAAGGCATTAAAAGAGAAAATTAACTTGGGTAGTCTTGCCATTTGTATTGTATTGGCAAGGCATTGCTAGGAGCATTGAATATTCCTCCAGCTATTTAAATTGTACCTTATTTCTTTAAGGAGGGAAGAAAGATAGAGAGAAAAGGAAGGAAGGAAAGGAAGGAGAAAGGAAAGAAAGAAGATTCATTCATTGAAGCTTCTTAAAAATGTCTAAAAGGGAGCATAAGTTCAGAGGGGGAAACAGATGAGCAGGAGAGCTTTGAAAGTAATAAGTTGGCAAAAAGTTATATATATATATATGTATATATGTATAATATATAATATTAATCTTAAAAGCAAGCAATGCATAAAAGAGATGCATTATCACATGCAATCTTTTCCTGTTCTACTTTGTATATAGAAATGTTCTCTTTGGGTTGATCCACTAAATTCAAAATGAATCTTCAAAAAAAATCTTGATGTTTGAGTGAAATGCAAGCTCTACGTCACCAATGTCACATGGTAGTCAAGAAAGCTAATTCAACCTTACAGCTGCATCAAGAGATGCCCAGCTTCTAAGAATAAGCAGGCAACTTATTCCTGTAGGACCTGATCATACTGGATCTAGATTATTGTGTTCCTTTCTGGACAATACATTTTAGGAAGGCCATTGATAAGCTGGAAAGCTTCCAGAAGATATCCACCAAAATAGTGAAGAATATTGAGCTCATGACATATATTAAAAATAAGTTTAAGGATCTAGGGACGGTTAGCCTGGGAAGAGAAGACATAGCAGGTATTTGACAACTGTCTTAAAGAATTCTAAGAGTCTGTCACATAGAAGATGGATTAGACTTGCTCTGCTTTGCCCAAAAGGTGTAACTACAAACAACAGATAGAAGTTACAAAATAGCTAATTTAGACTTGATTTGAGGATAAACTACCTATATCTAGAGCTGTCCCAAAGCAGAGTGGGCTGCCTTAGGAGTTGGTGCATTCATTCCCTTTAATTATAGCTTGAATCATCAGTTTTCAAGCAGGAGGTGATTACTTGCCAGGTGTATTGTAGAGGACTTTATTGTGGGCAAGAGGAGGTGACTGGTTAAACAATTTCTGAAGTCCTTTCCAACCCTTAAAATCTCTATGAATTCATTTCAAATGGCATTTACACGTGTTAGATCCTACTTCCAGGATATGGGTCAGCAACTATGCCTCCAACTATGATGAAAAGACATTGGACACACAGAAGTGTCAAGAATCCCAACTGATTACCCAGGACTTGATGGGCATGGGTCTTGTGTGACACTGTAATATGTATGCAGATGTGAAACACGTACATGGGCAAAGGATTCAGTTGTGAAACCATCACTTATGCTAGTGCCTTCCCTCGTTCACTATTTCCAATTTGTCCTGCATAGATTGTTTGTACATAGATGTTTGCACGTTGTCTCCTCCGTTAGACTGTGAGTTCTTTCAGAGCAGGGACTGGTTTTGTGGTTTCCTTTTTGTTTTCTTTTGTTTTACCTTTCTTTGTATCCCTAGCACTTAGGTGCCTGTCCCATGTTGTTGTTTAGTCATTTTTCAGTTGTGTTTAACTCTTTGTGACAGTATTTGGGGTTTTCTTGGCAAAGAAACTGAAGTGGTTTGCCGTTTCCTTCTCTAGTTCATTTTACAGATAAGGAAACTAAGGTAAACAGGGTTAAGCGACTTGGCCAGGGTCACACAGCTAGTAAGTGTCATGTATCTGAGACTGAATTTGAACTCAGGTCCTCCTGACTCCAAGGCCAGTGCTCTATCCCACTGTACCACTTAGCTGCCCCAGGGCCTGGCTTTTATTAAGGGCTTACTATGTGCCATGTACTGTGCTAATCACTGGGATACAAAGGAAGTCAAAAGCAGCCCATGCCCTCAAGGAGTTCATACTATTCGTGGACTTGCCTTGATGATTAACTAGTTTTAGTTTCAGAGGTTAAATGATAAAACACCCTTTTCCTTCTCAGTGGAGAGATACAGGACTACAGGAACATAATGTTCCATATGTGGTCATATTCAGTCCCGGGTTAGGCAGTTTAACTTAACTGTTTTTACTTGTTGCAGAGAGGGTTCTATTATGGGTCAAGGCATGGAATAATATGTGGAAATCACTTTGGTGGAGATAAAAGTCATCAATAAAACAACTCTTTTTTCTTTTCTTTTTCTTTTTTTTGGCTAGGCAATGGGGTTAAGTGACTTGCCCAGGGTCACGCAGCTAGTTAAGTGTTATGTGTCTGAGGCCGGATTTGAACTTGGGTTCTCCTGAATCCAGGGCCAGTGCTCTATCCACTGCACCACCTAGCTGCCCCCTGAATTGATTTTCTTTTTTTAAAAACAATTCTTTAAAAAAATTATTCCACATAATGTTTTCCTATAGTGCTTAGTATAAAACCTTTAAAACACCTTAAGGTGGGAAAAAGACCTGTGTCCTTTCCCAAAAGCCAAAAGAGTTGTGGGGATCCAAAGATTCCCTCAGAAAGAAGGTGGCAGCAGCTAGAAAACAGAAGGGAACACCAACTAGCCAAGGCATGCTGGTAAAATAAAAAAGAGAGCGGGATCATGGAGCACAGTGGGTCAGTGATGCCTCAAAGGCATTTTTGTCAGGTCAGTACCTATCAATAGTCTACACAATGCATCACATGCACACACACACTCATACACATATAGCATGGACACATATTTATTCATATTTACTAACAAATTGGATTTTTTAAAACAGGAAACCATACCTTTTCCCTTACAGCTTTTTCCTTGTTTTGCTAAAGACAACAAAGTCTCACCACCCCACTGTTTCCTACGCGCAATCCCAGAAAGAAAAATACTTGGCTGTAAGGGTTACATGACTTCTTTCTGATTAATTACCTGCACTTTTAGTTTTGCTGCATCCATCTTTTTCCCGAACTCCTTCTGCAATGACAGCTTGAAAGCGACATCCTTCACATCCTTGTCTTCCAGCTCCTGCAGCTGCTTCTGTGTTTCAGTTAATTCCACTCTGACCTGTTCTGCTTCTTGTGCCAGTTCTGTTACTCTCAGAGAATACTGTTTACTGGCAGCCTTGGCATCATTACCTTCATACAAAGAAATTTTAAATGATTCAAAAATCATGGGTGGAATTCATTTCAATGATAAGATACAGAAAAAAAATTAAACCTACAAATGAAATAGAGAAAAGTTGACAATGCTTACCAAAATAATCTACATGTTACTTGTAAAGCAGTGACTACTAAAACTTCCTTGCAATTTTATGCCAAAGGCTGAATTGCTCCTCCTCCCTCCTTTCTTTTTAAATCTTTATTACAAGGAATGGTTCTTTGTGTAGGGGAGGAGAAGAAATATATTTAGAAATGAATGGGATATAAAAAGAAGATATGAATACAAATAAGATTAATTTTATTTTTGAGAGACAATGTTATATAAAGACCCACGCATACAAGTAAAACCATCCTTGGAAAAAAATTCTTTCTCAGAAAACATTTAAAGAATTAAAAGAAAAAATAAAAATAAGAAAAAGAGTTAATAAGTTTAAAAAAATTTAAATTTGAAAAATCCAAAAATCCAAAATAAGCAGAGAAGAAAAATTAGAGGAGAAATAGAGGAAATAAAGACTACAGAAATGGTAAGCAAAACTAAGGGATCTTTTTTTTTAAATAGTATCAAAAAACTGATAAACATTAAGAAGTTAACCCCATGAGGGCTAGAGTGAGCCAGAAAGAGAAAAAAAGAGAGAGAGAGAGAGAGAGAGAGAGAGAGAGAGAGGGGGGGGGTAATTGTCAAATTCCTAAAATAAAAAAATAAAGAAGGTAAATTTACAATGATCAGAGAGGAAAAATATTAGAAACTACAATGCACAATTACATATCAGCTAACCTGAGAACTGAAAGGAAATGTATGAGTATTAACATAAACATAAAATATTCAAATTAACAAAATTATTCTAAACATAATCCTAAATAACCCAATCTCAAAAAGAAACCAAACAAGTCCTAAATGAACTACCAAATAAAAAAACTTAGTTCAAATAGATTTGCAAGGTAATTCTATCAAATGTTTAAAGAGGAGTCATCATATGTTTTACAAAATTATTCATAATAATTTTAAAAAATACACCCTACCAAACGCTTTTTTATGTGACAATTTAAGATACTAATTTACAAACCAAGGAGGGATAAAGTAGAGAAAGAAAAAATAGTTCAATCTCACCAATGAATAACTATGGAAATTCTTTAAAAATTCTATTAAGAAAATTACAGTAACAAATACCTTAAATTATTTAACCAAGACCAAGTTGGATGTATACCAGGAATGTTAGACTAATATTATATTAAGAAAATAATTAACATAATCAATCATATAAAGAATAAAAGCTACACGATTATATCAATAGTTGGAGAAAAATATAGTATTCATTTATGGTAAAAATTCTAAAAGTCATAGATCATAAAATAACTCTTTTTATTATGACTAAAGTATAAACTTAAAAAACCAAATATCTACATTATTTGCAAATGAGAAATACAAAAAGCTTTCCTAATACCTGAGTAAAACAAAAATATCTATTTTTGTCCCTAATATTTCACATATTTCCAAAAATACTAGCAATAGTTATAAAAGAAAGAAATTGAAGGTATAAACATCAGTATAGAATAAATAAATCATCTCTATTTTCATATGATATTATAGTTTATGTAAAAAAGAAAGCCAGGAAAGAAAGTAAGGGAGGAAATTAAGTTTCAGTAAAGTAGCATCAGATAAAGTCCATAAAAATCACAGCATTACTTTACTGTGCTAACACAAAGCAGGAGAAATGATAGTAATAGAAATTTCATTTAAAATAGTTATAAAGTGCACAAAATATCTGGGTGTTCTCTGAGGATAGGAAAGGGAATAATATATTAAGAAATGAGTGTAATATGATTTGAAAAAGAATATAAATACAACTAGAAAACTCTTTACAGAAATAAAGGAAAACAGATAAATGGAGGTAAAAATTCATTGTTCTTGATTGGACTGTGGTAACACATTTTTAAAAGGATATAGCCTAAATTAATTTACAGGTTTACAAAGCTACCAAGGGGTAACTTTATAAGATTAGACAAAGTGATAACAAAATTTGAAAGAAATAAAAGGTTAAGGTTATTAATATAAACAATGAAAAAAATAGGAACGATGCAGACTCAGCGCTTCCAGAATTCAAAATATAGGATAAAGAAATAATCATCAAAAGTATTCTGATTAAAAGACAGAAAAATCTATCAGTGGAACAGAATAAACGAGCAAGACTCAGAAACAATCAAAGTGCATAATAAATTCATGAGCATAAACTACTAGGAGAAGGAATGCCTATTCTAAAAGAACTGCAGGGACAACTGGACAGATGTTTGACAGAAATTACTTTTAGATCAGCATCTAATATCATATTCCACGTTAAATTCAAAATAGAAACAGGATCTAAATATAAAAGATCATGTCATCAAAAAAGAAAAGAAAGAATCAGAGAATGGAAGATGGTAGCACCTTTCAAAAATATGGGTGCGGAAAATTCTTAAACAAAGGATAGAAGTCATCATAAAAGATTAAAGATGCAATTTTAATTACAGAAAATTTTAAAAAGTCTCTTACACGAACAAAATCAATGAGACTAGAATAAGAGGAGAAATTGTGGAGGAGGGAAAAATGTTCCACAAATATGTGATAAAAGTTTGATATCCTAGAATCATTGAGAACCAATAAACATATATCAGACCAAGAGCCATTCTATAATACATGTGGTTAAAGGACATAAATAATTTTCAAAAGAAGAAAAGTAAAATTTAAAAAACTCTCTGAGAAAATGCTCCAAATCATCATAAGGGAAAAGCAAATAAAAACAGCTCTGAACTTTCTTCTCACATCCACCCCTCAAATTGGCAAAAATGATAAAAGACAGATATAGTAAATGTTGAAGGTGTTATGAAATGATAGGCTCATTCACTTTTTGAAACTATAAAATATTAGTCCAAATGGTTTGGAAAATAACTTGGAATTATGTGAAAAGTAGCTAAATGGTCCATTTCCTTTTGTCCCAACAATCCTGCTTCTAGGCATACACCTCAGAAAGGTCTAGGACAAAAGGAAAGCTTCCACATTTTCCAAGCTAGTCATAGAAGCATTTTTTTAAATGAAGTGGGATAACCATTGCCTGGAAAATGTCTTAATTTAAAGTACATGCCATCATTGGATATTATTATGTTATAAGAAACAACAACTATAAAGAATTCAAAGAAATAGACTTATCTGATATAACGCAGAGTGAAACAGCAGAACCAAGTGACTAAAATTAGGCAAATGAAAAGAACATAAAAAGGCAGATGAACTGTGATCAATTGTAAGGACCAGTCCCAGTCTCAGAGAGTAGAAAATAAGCTACATTTCCCTCCTTTCGGTAGAAAGTTGGGAGACTACAAGTGTGAAGTGTTGTATGTATATCCTGTTAGACATTGTCACCGAGTGAGTTATTTTCTTCGTTACAAAGGAGGATACATTACAGGGTGTGAGGAACATTGATTTTTTAAAATTCTATGTTCTACTGAGTTGGATCATAATGAGGCTGCAGTATGCATGGAAAAATCAAAAATACTATAATATTAACAACAAAAAAATTGTTGCATATGAGCTGGCTTACAAGAAACTATTACCTGTTTTAATTAATTCTTTAATGAGTTCTTCCATCATCTTGATATTGATTGTAAGTTCTCTCATTTTTTGCTTCACTTCCATGAGTCTCAGTTCTGAATTCTTTAGTTTTTGCAAGTTTAATACCTGACTTTCCTGGAGACATTCAACGTTTATACCTTAAACATGAAGGAAGCAAAATTCAAATCAAATGTTTATGAAGCACCTAGTAAATGCAAAGCAGAGCACTAAGTGCTGGAGTGGGCTACAAAAAAGATAAATGACATGATCTCTGCCTCCAAGGAGATTATAATCTAATAGGGAGATAAGAAACAACAACAAATATATATATATATATATGTATATATATATATATATATATACACATATGCATATGTGTGTATATTTTTACCTACATACAGAGAAAGAGACAGAGACAGAGACAGAGACAGAGAGAGTATGTGATTAGGGCAAAGGAGAGAGAAAAAGTACTTTAAGAAAATTTGAGGAGGAAGAGACTATTTTAGGCAGGAAAAAGTAGGGAGCTTTCATAGAGTAGGTATTTCAACAATCTGAGTTAAGAAAGGGATACATCCCAGGCACGAGCAATGGCTTGCTGCATGAACACAATGAGCCAGGAGACAACACTGACAAGATTACTAGGGGACAGCAATGATCTGGCTCGACTAGAACTTAAGAGTGCAATGACAAGCTAAGGAGTTATATTTTCTCCTATAAACAATGAGGAGCTACTAAAATTTCTTGAGCAGGGGAGTGATATCGTTAAAATGTCTCTATTAGTAACACTGTTTTAGGGCAGCTATGTGGCACAGTGGATAGAATGCCAGTTCTGGATTCAGGAAGACTCATACTGGATTTGAAGACAAATCCAGCCTCAAACATTTATTAGCTATGTGACCCCTGGGCAAGTTGCTTACCTCTGTCTGCCTCAGTTTCCTCATCTGTAAAATGAGCTAGAGAATGAAATGGCAAACTACTCCAGCATCGTTGCCAAGAAAACCCCAAATGGAGTTGCAAAGAGCTGGACTGAGACAAAGAGGGTTAAGTGACTTGCCCAGGTTCACACAGCTAGGAAGTGTCTGAGGCCAGATTTGAACTCAGGAAGATGAAGTATTCTAGCCTAGTACTCTATCCGCTGCACCACTTAGCTGCCCTGACCATTTATAGGGTATATCATAAAGGCAATTCCTTTCATTAGTGTATTAAACTATCACTGAGGTCCCTTCCAACTCTCAAAACTGTGTGATTCTTTCATTTATATTGCTCTGCTTCATGTACTCTATTATGTTCTAGCCACACTGACCTTACACGAGCTTCTCTCCTTTCTGTGTATCTGTACATGGACTGCTCCCCATGACCTGAATGCATTCTCTCCTCTCCTCCACCTCTCAGAATTCCTTTCCTCGTCTGAGGTTCTGTTTAGATGCCACATCTTAAATAAAGCCCTTCCTGATCCCCCCAGTTTTAAATGCCTCCATCTCTCTTGCTTCAATCATCCTTGAACAACACTTACTTGTGTAAAATTGTATCCCCCAGTACAGTGGTTTCCAAACTTTTTAGACTGTATACTCCATGGGTTAAAAATTTGAACCCCCCCCAAAATATGTATATTTATTTGCAAATTATACAATGTAATGATGTACCATTATATACATTAGAAAACACACAAAATAGAAATTTTAAAAGGATGAGTTAAAGATGGAATAAAATTTGATCCTAAATCTAGAATCAACAGGAGCCAATGAAATCTCCTAAGCAGGAATGTGACATCGGCACGTTCTCCCTGTGTATCTTGGTAGGTCTGTGGAGAACAGACGGTAGAGGGGAGAGGCAGGGAGAACCATGGGAGGTCACTGCAGTAGACCAGGAGAGAGATGATGAGGGACTGACCTAGGGTGGTGATTCTGTGAGTGGAAAAGAGGAGAATCCATGAAGGAGAGGCTGGAGAAAGAACCAGGACAAGCTTAGGCAACTGACAAGGTGTCTGGAAGAAGGCAGAGTGAGAAGGTGAGGAGAAGGCTGAGTTAGCAAACCTGTGTGACCAGATGGAGAGTGATGCCCCCAACAGAAGCAGCCAAGTTTGGAAGAGAAAATGTGTATGGGGAGAAAGATAATATAATCACAACCACCCACACCTGCTTATCCTGTAAGACTCATTCTTTTCCCACTAAAAAAAAGAGAGGTGGAAGGGAAGGGCTGCTCACTAGCCCCTGCTCTGGTATGCAGAGCCTGCCACGGAGGGATACCTGCTGCAAACACATGGTCACAGCAGGAAAGGACACCTCAGGGAACTTTTCTTGCCCCAAGTGCAAGGCATGAAGGCTGGCACGGGGAAGGAGGGGGCAGAGTGGATGGCATGTAACAGTACTCAAAGGGGGAAGGGGGAGAGGTGCCTTGAACACAAGCTCATGAACAGGTATGGGGGAAGAGGTTGAAATGTGACCCATCTTCTCTACTCTCTCATTGTTTATCACAAATCCTTCGGGAGGAGTGTGAAGCAAATGTCAACACCTCCCTTTCCTAAATATTCCATAGCTTCAACTTTGAGAAACCAAAGCCCTAGTAGAATATAAGGAACTGTTTTCTCTAGCACCTAGAAAATGCCTTACATATAGTAGATACTTAATAAATGTTTAATTCAATTCAGTTCAATTTGTCAGCAATGTCAAAAGTTGCAAAAAAGATCAAGGATGATGATGACTGAGAAAGGCCATTAGATTTAACATTTAAGAAATTACTGACTGTGGCAGGGCACGTGTGAGTGCAAAGAGGTTGAGTATAGGGTTAGATCAGGAAGCAACTAGTAGTTTAGCACTTGGCACAGTGCCTGGCACTAGTAGGTGCTTCATAAATGTTTGGTTGATTGATTAGTCCAATTGTATGAGAATACAGTATGCATGAGAGGAAACAATATGAAAAAAGTCTGGAAATGTAGGTCAGAGCCAGATTATGAAAATCAATCAATTCTAGGCCAAGGATTTGTATTTTAACCTCTAGCCAATTAAGAACCAATAAAAGTTGGGAGTGGCGTCAATGGAGAGGGGCATTTTGTAGCCAGAAGATCTAGGTTCAAATTCTGCTCTGCTGAGTCGTTGTATGATCTTGGGCAAACCACCTCTCCTCTCTGGGCTTTAGTTTCCACATTTGTAAAATGAGGAGGTTAGAACAGATGGCCTGTGTGACGTCCCTTTCGGTTCTAGACCTTTGATCCTGTAATTCTAAGGGGTGTGAACATTTTTGAACAGAAGAGTGATGCGATCAGACCTATACATTAAATGTCCTGGTGACTGGACTGGACTGGAAATCTGGTGATGCCAGCAACAAAAGTGGGAAAAAATGGGATTAGCAGGTTTGAGGGAGAATGAATTCAGTTTTGGAAGTGTCCAGTTTGAAATAGGAACATCTGCCTAAAATGTTTTTAAATTATCAGCTTAACTACTGCATCTACGCTCTCTCCTGGTTGAATTCAAGGTACAATTATTAGTAGTAGAAAGAACTGAAAGGAAAAAGAAAGGAATATGAATAGCCCTTTTCTCTTCTGCAAAGCTAATCACATTTAACATAGACTAGCCTCCTAAAATGACTATTAATGCGTATTCCTTCCTTCCTTATCTTTGCCTTCATTTTCTCCCTGGATTTAACATCTAATGCATATTGAAAGGCATTGAATTCAATAGGAGTTGGGGTATGCTGTTTAAATGGGAATGGATATGTACAATCGGCTCCATTGCCTCCCTCCACTACCCCATTCTTCTCAAATTTACGGCACCATGACCATGTGTGAAAATAGCCTCCAATTCTCTCTACTCTTCCCTCTCCAGTCCATCCTTCCAAGAGCTCCCAAATGAATCTTCTGAAGGCACAGGTCTCGCTGTGTGACCTCCACAGTCTAAAACCTTCTCAGTATCTTTACACTGCCTAGAACAGTGGCATCAAACTCAAACAGATATGGATCCCAGAGTGTGCATACGGACTTAAAAAATTTCAAATTAACATTATGTTGTATCGTATTTTTTTTTATTTTGTTGAACATTTCCCAGTTACCTTTTAATCAGGTTTCAGTCGACTTTAGGAGTTTTGCAGGCCACTGAATAGGACACCTCTGGCCTACCTACCTTTCCAGCTTTAGTTCACTCTATTCCCTTTCCCACACACTATGTTCCAACTCAAATGCGTTACTTAGCTGTCTCCCCTTTTTATTCTGTCCTCTTCTGCCTCGATGAATGTATTCAAGCTTTCTGTCACATCCAAAAGGCATTCATTTCTTATCGTCGTCACCTGTTGAAATTCTTCTCTCCTTTAAGGCACAACTCTGGTATCATCTACTCTATAAAAGTTTCCCTGATTCACTCACTCACCCCGCCCACTACAGCTGAAAGTGATTTCTTCCTCCTCATCTCCATTACTATCAACATTCTGTCTTGTATAATACCTATTTGAGTGCATATCATATTCTCATTAGCAGACTGTAAGATTCTAAAGGGCAAGGATTAAGTTGTTTTTCTTCTTTTCCCCAGCACAGAACCTTATACTTTGTGATATGTTTAATAAATTTTTGTTGAGTTGAATTTTTAACTGTATTGAAAATTGCATACTCCAAACAAATTAATATCAATGTCATTTTGATGTAGTACACAGACATTGTAACAAGTCCATAATGGGAGATCAAAAAATATTTCATGATGGATTGACTACATCACCTAACTCAATATAGGCACTGAATCAATATTAAAAACATATCCTTAAAAGAAAAGTACCAAATCAAGTTGAGTATACAGAGATGTAAGCACACAGGCCTAATGAAGATCTCTGCTAGAGGTCAATTATATCATTGGTGTCAAATTTTAGTGTACTCTGAAAGGTAGTGATGTAGTGTTTATTCAACAAGCATTAATTAACCACCTACTAAGTACCTTGCATTTAGGGGTTTTACAAAAATAAACATGGTGCTAACCCTGCCCAGGAAGGAGCTTGTGAAATAGTATAAAAATATCAAGACACATGCAGATATGTTATAGTGGAACAGCTGCAGTAAAATGCTTTAGAAATATATTTTCTGTTAAGAGATCACAACCATAGAAGGTCCAAGAATAAACTAATGTTTACAGAAACTCATCCTTTGAGAGGTTTGACCTGGAGGGATTTTGGCCTCTGCATAGATGTAAATGATCCCAGTGAAAAAATGTTCTATCAGTGGCAAAGAGGGATCACAGAGAATTAGAAGTGGAATTGATAGCATAAAGGAGAAGGTTATGCTAAGCAGAAACCCTAGCCTTTTAATTTCCCTTTGCTAAAAATCTCATAGAATTCCCACTTTATAGCCATGCTTCATAAACTAGAGATTGGAGATTTTAAAAAGCATAAAACATCAGTTGTAAATGCCATCATTACCCGATAAACTTTCTGTAGGTTGCAGGCCTTCGTTCAGCGAACCTGATGGTTGTTTTGGATTCAGAACATCTCTCGTGTCCAGAAAAGAACAAATAGAGGTTGGCTTGAGAATCCATCTAAGATGTCTAGGTGCTCTAAAATAAGTTGAAGACCAAAGATAACTTTAACCTTGTTAATTAAAACTATTAATACTGGTCTGCCTCCAAATTTAGCTCCCTTATTAGGAGGCATTAGCTTAAAGAGATTTAGCTTACTATTATTATTCCTCTCACAAAAAGGGTTATTATTCCAGGGTTAAACTCTTTAGGATTCACCAGTTCTACTACCGTAATGGCATTAAGAACATGGTCTTCTATACTCCCATCTCCTCTTCCAAAAAACAGTTCCCCACCTCTCTCAGATCCATCAATCAATCAACCAACAATCAATAAGCATTTGTGAAATATCTACTGTGTGCCAGACTTGGCACTAGGTTCTGGGGATACAAAAATAAAAAGGAACAGTATTTATTGATCCTGATAAGGTAAAATCTCCTTTGCCTTCATTTGTAGCTGCAGTGCTATTAACTGCACCCCCCCCAAAAAAAAACCCCACAAAGTTAGTGAACACCTATTTATTATTTATTATTCCATCTTTAACACTGTGGGCGACAGGAAGTTGGCAAGTTTACAATTCCAATCACATGGATCTGATCCCCTTAAAACAAAGCCATTGTACAGCAACAGCCTCCTGTGAGAAGCAAATTGGACCAGTACCAAGAAAATGAAGGGAGAAAGAACCCCAGTAGCTCTCCATCTGAAAATGAAGAGAATGCACGTATCCGAATTAATTAAAATTGGAAAGAGTGAAGAGAAAGGATTTTGACAACAGAAAGATCAAAGTAATAAACCCTTAAAATAGTGTTGTTCAGTATAACTGGTAAAAGGTAAAAGTGTTATACAACAGTTAGAAAGCTATTTTCATTGACACTAAATCTTTGAAAATACATATTATGGATATTTCTAAACATGTGTGTGAAAAGTACACAGCTAACAGGCCACTGGATTTTAGGGATGTTGGATAATCCTTATAGGTTACCCACAATTTTTGATAAACTATTAAAAAATATTTCTGCCATTATGCTGAAAAGTTAAAGCACTACAGGTAGTGACTTTTCAACAAAGCTACTTCATCATAGAACATGAAGGTACTGTTGTCCCTTCGTTATCAGCATTTTGGCATTCCTTTGCTGAGTTTGTGAAAGATAACAAGCCATCTGGAAAGGAATTCAGTTTTAGAAACCATCCACAAAGTGATCTGAGGGTTGTGTAACCTTGATTTTAAAAAAGAAAAGTGAAATTCCATCCCATTTGCATATATGACCCTCAGGAGATGTTCTTCTTTTAGATTCTCATGAAAAGTGACGGCTTGAGTTCACTTATATACCAATGTACACTGGCTGCATGATACACAGGGTGTCCCAGAAAATTCTTCATGCTAAACCAGCTCCAACAGTTAAAACTGCATGAAGACTTTTCTGGGACACCCTGTGTTCCACAAAAAAAAAAAAAAAAACGAAAACTTATTGCATTTAAGAAGAAAAATGTTATTTATATTTGTCTAACATGCAATACTACTACTATGAAATCTGTATTTTCATGATACCGATATTCAGGTTTCTCTTGATTTTCTGTATCTTCTTCATCACTGTTATCAGAAAATTCACAATGAACGACTTCATCTTGTTCTTCTATGTGATCCAATAACATTTCACTTCGGGTTCGAAATCCAGCTACCACTCGATCAAGTGCATACATAAGAGGGCTTGTGTGGACCTTTTAAGTGATTCACCCACCACCCCCAACAACAAATAGTTAATATAAGTTCATTTACATTTGCTTAACAATATTTAGGAGGTGGTGCAGTTTTGAGCATCACAGGTAAATTGTCCATGCACCTACCAGTTTTTCTTTTTGGTATTAGAATACTTTCTTCAATGGAATGTGATTGTTTAATCAATCTGTGAGATTTACTAATTTTTAAAATTTATCTTACTATCATTTGTATTGTTTACCTTTATTTCTATTATATTAATAACCAATTATTAAATTAGGATTGAGTTTTTTTCCTTTCTATTTCCTCATTCAGGGATCCAGTCCCTGTAGATTAATCAGTCAGTCTCTGAAGGACAATGCTGACAGATGAGATCACCCAAATCCTCCAGGTACATGTTCTGAGATCTTGGGTGGGACCCCACCCAACTAGAAGACCTTATAAACAGAATCTAATCTAGGTGAATTCCTGCCCTTAGGAAATAAACCCATGTCATTATACCCCTCCATTTAGAGTCTAGGGGAACCCAGCTTATGAAGGAAAAAACCCAACCATAGTGGTCTGGGTAGAGATGGATTCCTTTGTCCAGATTGCTGGAGGTGGCTGAGTCGCATGATTAAATCACATTCTCAGTTCTCAGCAGGAGGAGCTGAAGACTTTCAGCCTACCTCCTCATTAATATGTCTACCCCCCCCCATTAATTGTTCATCAGTCAGGGTTGATTTTCACCTATCAGGGTCACTTCCTTTTCCAAAGGTATTTAAGTATTCAGGAATCTCCATGCTTTTGTCTTTAGTTACTGAGAGAAACCACTGACCATCAGTTTATTGATTATCAGCAATCCTAATCAATAAATTGATTAATTACCCAGAAACTGTCTCTCAGGCTTTTTATCCACCTCCTTAATAATAGCTGACATACGGGGCAACTGCATGGCTTAATGGATAGAGCACCAGCCCTGAAGTCAGGAGGACCTGAGTTCAAATCTGGCCTCAGACACTTGACCCCTACTAGCTGTGTGACCCTGGCCACGTCACTTAACTTCAAGTGCCTCGTCAAAAAAAATTAAATGAAATAAAAAATAATAGCTGACATTTATATAGCCCTTTAAGTTTTGTAGAGTGTTTCAGAGGCATTAACACAATTTGAAAGTTTATCATCTGAAATAAAATTCTAGCAGGTATACAACAACCAGGAATCATTCCATAATACAGGTACTTAAGGTCTGACATATCCAGGCTCAATACCACTATTATGTATGACTACATATAGGTTCAGCATAGCTGTGAGTTCATCAATGTAGGCATTCCTTCCATGGTGCAGAACAATACCCATCCACACTTCCTCATCTTGTGCAGTTCTTATCCATGTTCTACCATTGACCATTGATAGGGTCAATGTGCTACCAGAGGTCTTACTCCAGGTTTTTGTTTTTCCTTTTACATTTTATGGGTAACAGGGCAGTACATGGGCTACTTGTCATCCTTCATTATCATTACATGAGCAGCCCCATTTCTTGTTCCAAACACGTATTCAATCCTTTATAGCATTTTTTAAAAATAAGGTATATTATATATATATATGTGATGCACATACTTATATGTACATATACATATATAAATGAATATATATTCTCCTATGTGTATGTAAGATTCAAATGTAAAAAGAGATGTGTATGTGTTTACATGTATATTATATACACACAAAAACAATATGGTGAAGTGTAAGAAGCATATTCAGACTTTACCTTTAGGGCATCTGGCCATGTTGGGACATGAATACAGTGTCCAAAACTGTTATCGAGTGGTACAGTGTATGCCTCCTTCTCCGATATCTTGGTATCTGGTCTATCTCCACAAGTTCCCTTGGACACAGAAGCCATGAACATATTAAACATCATGAGTTCTTCATTCAGTTGATTTACAAGAAGTTGCTGTTCCACTATTTTATCATTCTTAGTGAGAAAAAGAAAAAAAATTAAATGTCAAAACCTAACCACACGCATATAGATGAACATGGTGATTAAATATCAGTTTGACATTAATTGAAGAGCCTAGTTTTAGTTAAACTCTCATGTGTCTGAAACTCAGCCTTCTGGCATCCTCCAAGGTAAGAAATAGTGAGTAACTTGGATCTGAGCAGAAAAATGTCTATTGAAGAAAAATAAAGAAATAAAAGATCTTCTGAAGAGTAATCCCAAATATAAACACAAAGATTACACCTGATGCATAAGGATTGGCCAGTGTTCCAACCACACTGAAACGAGGACTTTAATGGTCTGATGATGTCTATGAAATACTATCCTTTTTATCTAACATCCAACAAGGGCGGGAAAATGAATAAATTTTGAAATATGAATTTTGAAAATGCATAAAAGACCAAAATATGAGAAAAACCAGAAGATCAAAGAATAGCTTAAAGCAAAAACAATAGCATCAGAGATTAGAAGTGGCAACAAAGACTCTCCTCACAACAAACACTGTGTGACAACAGATAAGAGCCCCAGGCCTTCAAGAGCTAGATGATGGAATGATTTTGAAATCCAGGGCTTAGGAAGAACAAGTGCCAGCCAATAACTCAACACTTTACCCTCCTTGACACTGCAGGTGTCAGAGATGGCCGCATTGTGTGAGGCATGGAAGAAGAATCCTTTAACTTCAACAGGTCCTAAGGATACCTGGTACCTCAGACTGAAGGTGTAGCCCTCATGCCATTCCAGTGACACGCCAATGAGTCTTAAAATTTTATGACCCACACCATCTACCTCCCAACATCAAAACAATCATTTGTAGAATCCTAAGAGCCGGAAATGACTGGGGAGGACATTTAGTTAAATCTCCCATCAACCCATCAATTCCTTTCCATAATAAACTGGTCATCATGATGTCAATGAGTCATTAAGGAAACATTAAGATTTGTTCAATATAATCTATAAGAACACTAGGAATTACACAGTTCATTGTAGAGAGATTTTCTTTGCCAAAAGTTAAAATTTAAAAAATTAACAAGGTAAAGGATTAAATTCTCTGGAAAACTCCTGGCAATCTAGATTAAAAGGGGTATTTTACCCTGAAATTATTAATACACACAATCTCTAAGTTGGAAGGAACCTCAAAAGTGTCATCTATCCATACCTGTATGAGAAATCCCCTTTCCAACATCCCTGAAAAGTGGTCATCCTGATCTACTTGAAGATCTCCCAATATTAGAGATCCATACCTTCCTGAAGTTGCCTATTCCATTTCCCAACAGTTCTAATAGCTAGCTTTCCCTTACATTCAACCATAATCTGATCTCTTCCCTTTCCTCCACTAGCTCATATTTCTGTCTACTGCAGCCAAGCACAAAAAAAAGTCTAGTACTTCTTTTGGTTGACAACCCTTAAAAAATCTGAGACAGCTATCACATTTCTTCCTAAGTCTCTTCTCTATGCTTAACATCCTTAGTTTTTTGTTGTTTCGTTTTTAACCAGCTTTGTACAGTATGCATTCCATTCCCCTCAACCCTGGTCACCAGCTTCTATACATACTTGACATTATTTCTGTCCTTTCTAAAATGTAGCAACAGACCAGGGTAGAAAGACAGTGGGGGACCATTATACTTATGGTCAAGGGATTTTTTCAAAGTCAAAACACAAATCAGTGATAGAGTAGGGCAGCATAGTCTAATGAATTCTTATATAATAGTGCAGGGAAAGAGATTTGAATTTGAAATTAGAGGATTTGATTTAAAATTTTGGGTCTGCTACCACCTGCATAGATACCAAGACCATAAACCATAATGAGCAGCAGGAGAATATAGACACCAGATGGAAAATTGGGACGAATAAAAATAAGGACACATTAAAGTCTGAGGTTTAGACTATGCAGCAAGTCAACAAATAAATAGGTAAGATTCCAGAAGACATATGGTTAGTTAATCAATAAGTATTAATATTAAGTGCCTATTAGGTGTCAGATACTGTGCTAAGTGCTGGGGATATATAATTTAATATTCAATGCAAAGCATCAATGGCATCAAAAAACAGGTTGATAAAAAGCAATCATAAAATAGGCAGATAAAAAAAAGTCATCTCATATGTAGATAGTGAGAATCAAGAAAAGCAATGGGATAGAAACAAGGACATACAAGACAGAAATAAATAGAAAGATGACAAGTCTGAAGGGTAAAGCAAAATTGGGGGTCAGAAGTGGAAGCACAGAGTCAGGAGCTAACAGGTAGATCCACCTGAACTAACAGGCAAGGGAAAGCAAGTAGGATGCTCCTACACGGGGTAGGAGCATCAGACAGAAAAATCCCTCATACTTATTTGTCAGAAGAGGAGACTATCTCAGGACATGAAAACCAAAGACCTATAGGTTAGAGATGAAAAGGAAGTGTAATAAGAAGGCTAGATACTACTATACAGATTCCATTTTCTTTAGTGCTGCTTGAATTTACTAAATTTTAAGCTCTGAGTCAACCTCTTAACTTTTTTTTAGTCTTTTCAGTGCCTAACAATTAGTCAAACAATTGGTCTTAACAAACTGAAAATGTGTGCTACTAATTTCTAATGAACTTAACTATAACTCAGTTCAACAAACATCACTGCACCAGGTCCTGGAGATACAAAGACAAAAAAAAATAGTTCCTGTCCTCAAGGAGCTTACATTCCACTGGCAGGGGTGGGGGGGGTGCAATAGTGCCTTAACAACATATACACAAGTAAGTATAGCACAGGGAAAATTGAGAAAGCACTAACCACAGAGAGAATCAGGAATAAGGTGATACCTGAGTTGAGTCTTGATGGAAAACAATGACTCTTAGAGACAGAAATAAGGAGGGAGTCTGAAATGCATTCCAGGTATGGAGTGGAATGGTATTTATGGAATGAGCAGAGGCAAGAAATGGAGTGTTGAGAGTCTGGGAGTCAGGTCTAGTCCAATTAGGCTGAAACACAGTGTTTACAAAGAAGAGTAATATGAGGTAAAGCTAAAAAGGTAAGCTGGAGCCACATTGTAAAGGGCCTTTTAAGTACCAGGGCAATTTTTTTTTTATTTCATCCTATAGGCATTGGAGTCACTGAAGATTTTTGAGGAGGGGAATGACATGGTTAAACTTGTGTCTTAGGAAGTTTATTTAGGCAGTAGTAGAAGTTAGATTAGAGACAGGGAAGTAAGAAAGTAGAGAGATCAGTTGGAGGTTAATACAGTTAAGCCCAAGGGAAAGGAAGTGAGGGCATTAACAAGGGTGGTGAGTAGGTGAGTCACACATAATATAGATATAACACTTGGTAACTAAATATGAGATGGTAAGATGAATCAAGGGCAATGCCAGGAGACTGGGAAGATAGTGGTAACCTCAAGCTAAAAAGAGAATTCGGAAGAGGGGTAGGTTTAGAAAAGAAGATAATTAATTTTGTTTTAGAGATACTGAGTATGAAATAGTTATGAAACATCCATAAAGAGATATCTAGTAGGCAGCTGAGAATGTGAAACTAAAGTTCAAGATTAAGGCTGGATAAAAAGAAATGGGGGAGTCTTATATAGAAAGATGATTCTTAGTTCCTTGGAAACTGATAAAATCTCCAGAAGAGACATTGTAGAGCAGGAGTTATTAACCTAGAATCCACAAACCAGGGGTTAGACACACATAGATTTCAAGCCTCTATGAACTTAGATTGAAATCACTAATCTTAAATTAAAATTTAGCATTTCCTTTATTATTATTTTAAAGCATTGGTTAATCTGAATGTCTATTATATCAATGTGTATCAATTATCATTACAAAAAATAAATTCAAACTACTACATCTATTTATGCTAGACATAATATAAAGACTTAATCGTGACGGATGAAGTTAAGATACCCCCACCCCTTCTCCTACTCACCCTCCTTTCTGAAATCCATGCCAAGCCACTTGTCTTCTAGTTACACCCTACTCCTCTTCTTCCTCCTGTACATGTAAGACCTTTGTCTTTCCCTCCTCTTCCTTCTTAAAACTAATTCTCACAAAAGGATCTGATATCAGCTATTTGTACTTTAAATTAATACCAAATCTATCTCTCCTAAGAGTATGTGTACTTTAAAGCATATCTCTACTTGTGAAATGAAAGGTTTTTATATCCTATTAAAGGAATTTCAGGCATCAAAAATCATAGACTGGGAAAGGAAGGAGCATAGGAGTTGTTTACCCCAGAAATATTTCACAAATACCACGTACGTGAAAAGTTAGCCCAAATATTATAGATATTTAATCAGGAGTAAAGGAATTTTCAAAATGAGAGTTAAATAAGATATAATAAGGAGGGAAATATGAGAATATTTTAAAAGAAAAAAATGACTGGCTGAATTGTTATTTTATATCTAATGGTACAAAACACAGTAATATTACAGTATCTTAAAAACCCAGGGAAGAAAGGATGAAGAAAAGCATTCAAAATACCACAAGGGTAGGCCACCACAGCCTAACCTCATCATTGGATGTATATAAAATGTAGGTCATGTGGTTTTAAAGAAACATTTTAAAATTTTTTTTTTAATGTTCCAACTCTAAAAAATAAAATAAAATCTCCCAACTTTAGTCACTATTGCGTTTAACTCTTCTAGGATTCTATGTTTAGAATTCTTCAAACCCTATTTTTCTGAAAGTAATAGTTATGAAAGACATTAGGTTGAAATGACCTAAGACTGTGCTATGTTATCCTTAGAGTCATCTCCTAAAATAAGCATTAAGTTTAGTTGTATGTTCTATTTCAACTAAACTGGTGTGATGAAGTCATACCTGTAATTGATTCACTTTCTGTGCCTCTTTCAAAGACAGCAAATGTCCTCTGTTTTCCTGTGTCATTGTCTGCATTTGATGCCATAATTCCTTTAGCTCTAGTTCTTTCTGACTGAATACCACTTCATCAGCAGTTAGAGCACACTAGATGTGAGCAATTGAGACACATTGAGTCACAATGGGAGAGAAAGATTAGGGTTCGTGAGAAAAGACTAACTCTTCCAAGCATGAGGCCAGGACCAACCTTTCAATCAATACCCTCAAAACCCCTAACAGTTTTTCCTGCAGACTACAAACCCTTCCAAGCTCTGCCCCATCCTTAAAATAACTGAAAATATTTAACCAACAGGAAGGCAGTTCATTAGAGCTGTAGTCTAGGGATTCAAGGGACAAATTACCCTGAGCAATGAGGCAGTGACTTTTAACTTGAAAAAGAATTTGGGGTAAAATCCAATTGAGATTTCAAAAATCTCAATGACTTTTTTTTTTACCCTGCATTCCTTTTCTTAGCAATTAAATAGAATTAACCCAATGCCTGTTTGTGAATGGGGCTACTAATATTAAAGCAAAAACCTTATAAACATAAAATAGTCACTTTACAACAAGATTCACAAGCAGTCATGCACAATCAAAATTCTTTAAATAAGAAGTTATCCTGGCACATTAAAATATTGGCTATAAAAATTCTCCTATATACACAGCTCTTCAAGAGGCAGTATGATATAGTAGAAAGGGCATTGTACCAAGAATGAGCACATTGGAGTTCTATTCCTAGGTCTTCTACTTAGGTAGCTTTGTAACCTTCAATAATCACTTTAAGTCTATGGGCTTCAGTTTCCTGATATGTAAAATAAGGGAGAAGTTACACTAGATAAAAGTCAAGGTCCCCTTTCAGTTCTGAAATTCTATGATCCATTGAATAATAGCATGAAGTGAAATAAATACACATCTAATTTTTATCATGAATAGTATTTCCATGCACAGGCAAGTATCCACCTTAAATGTTCAAAAATATTTTAAAATACAACCCCTAACCTACAGAGGTCAATTTGATTTAAACAAGCATTTATGAGGCACTTATTCGATGCCAGGAACTGTGTCACAGATAGATACAAAAAGGAAATATTCCCTTTCTTCAAGATGTTTATAGTCTGTCAAAATGTATTTCATTACAAAGTGACTTAAAATTAGAATGACTATAGTGTTTGCTGAGATGGTCATTGACCATTGACATGGTAATTCAGTGCTTTGACAATAAAACAATTTATATAGCATTTTAAAGTGAGGTGGGTAGTGAAAGTATTATTCTCATCTTACAGATGAGGAAACTAAGGCTTTGAGATCCCAGAGCCAGCAGGCTTCTGAGGAAGGATTAGAACTCAGATCTCCTGACTTAAGTCCAGGGCTCCATCTACTTACATTATACAATGAAGAATATAGTTTTAAAACTCACAAATACTATGTAGGTCTAAGAGAAAACTAACAACAAAGAGTATTGAGCAAAATCCTAAATATATAAGCTACTGATTCAACTTAGTTTGAACATCTCCATCTATTTATTAACGGATTTAATCTATTTGCTCTTCCAGTTCTACATGTTTTTCCATTTTTCATGCTATATGATATACACTGATATTTTGTTTCACTTATTGTTCATCAAAAGACAACTTTCATTTTAGGATGCCTTTAGATATAAGCCCTGACTTCCTAAAAGTTGCAGGCAAAATGCCTTAGCAGCATAGAAAAGTCTTGACTAAGCTCCCAAGCTCTTTCCCAATTAGGATATTTTATTAATCTAATATGAACTAAAAGGCTACAACACATTTTGCCAATTTCTAAAAGAAGCCATTCTGGTCAATAATGTCTGAATCCCTATCATTTCTTCAATAAAAATCCTGCTGGAATCATACTTCCTTTAAAATTTTCATCTCAATAGAAAAATGGAAATTTTATAGTAGCTCAAGTCAGAATTCTGATGATACCTTACAAAGCTATAAGTATTGAGGTGTGAAGAATTAAGGAATAAAAAGAAGATCACTGTCATGAAAGAAATCAGTCCCAGCTCCCTTGGTGGTAACTCACAGGAGCGACTTCAATTTCCCAATCAAAGAAGTAAACCTTTGCCTGGTATCTGATTCTGAGTCCCAAGGATAAGAAGGCAGCTATTATCTTCTCTCCTCCTCCCAACATTTACCTTGCCCACAGTCTTCCCAGGTATCCTGTAGTTTCATCAAAGCTACCACTCTAGTAATTAATTCTTAGGATGGAGGCCCATCAATGTTTTCAGCTTAGTACTAAATTTGTTACATCTAAAAAGTATCAGAAAGTAAACAGGGAGAAAAAAGGAAAAACAAAAAAAACAGAAAAGAGAAGAGAGAAAAGGGAGAAGCAAAGAGATGTATACTGCCTAAACCTAAAGAATAATTTTAGGTAAATCAGGCCTAACTTAAAATGTAGCTTTTCTATGACATCTTTCCCAGTTCCCCAATTAGCATCAATCCTATTCAACCACCAATCAGACCTCACAAAGCATTTGGTGTCTGCTTCTGGTGTGAAATCATCATATATGCTTTTGGTTTTGAGTTGTAAGTTTCTATGCCACAGCTTTCTACCACATTGTGAATTCCAAGAGGAAATAGAATTTTTTTAACTTATCTAATTTTTGTAGATCTCTCATGACAGCACAGTTCTTTATGTGCTGGGGGGTGGGGAAGAGGGATTTAATAAGTTTTTATTTAAAATGGAAGGTGCCACAGTTTGTTGACAACTATTCATAAATCTAGGGTACAAATAGTAGATGGAGAACAAGTTTAACCACAGGTAGAAAGGGGAAGCTACTCCTCCCCTTGGATATGAACTTTATGGACTTTAGATTACAGTCACTTTGGGAGCCCAAAGAAAAAAAATTCTTCCTCATCTACATGTATATCCCAAATTCACTACTTCTGTGCTCTAATAATTCTCCTTTCCCTTTCTGCTTATGGAGGTGGTTCAGTCTCCCTGAGCCCTTGGCCTGATTAAGGCCAAGTAATGTTACTGTTCAAAAAAGTCTATATGATAGCTACAGAGTAAATCAGAATTTACTACAACAATAGTAATAAATAAATGCTAATATTAAAAACCCAGACAATGCTGCAAATCTGTTTGAGAAGCAGAGGTATAGCATTTAAGGCTCTCTTTTTTTTTTTGGACTGGACCTGATTTCATTGGTGGGTATAGGGAGCCCTCAGTGAGAACCTTCCTATAATGAACAGAGTCACCTATGCTACAGCTTGATAATCTTGTAGAGCTGCCTGGGGCTTGCCCGGGGTCCCAGAGCCAATCCATGTACCAGGTGAGACTTGGACCCACATCTTCCTAACTTCTAGACCAGCTCTCTTACCACAGTGTCATCCTGCCTCTCTTACTTTAAGGCAGTGCTACGTTTAAACACATAAGACTTACTAAGAGAATATATATCTAGCTAAAATGCTAAATTTTCTTGTCTTGTTTTTTACTATCAATAAATAAATATATAGATATAGATATAGATATAGATATAGATGATATAGATATAGATATAGATATAGAGATAGATATAGATATAGATAGATATATATGTAACTCAGGAGTGAGAAATTTTTTTTCCTTAAAGGATCACTTAACCCCAGTAGAGAGGGAGAACATACTTGTTGCAGGCCACAGAAGCAAAAAAAAAAAAGAAAGAAAAAATATATATGTATGTATATATACATATAAATATATATGTTTAGTTCTGGGGTAATTTTAACTACAAGACAAAAAAATTTTAAATGAACCACTTAATTGCCCTATGAACTAAACACAGAGTATATAAAACTCTTAAATACAAAAAAACCACATATTTCTTTTGTGGAGTAGGCTAATAAATAGGAATAAAGAGAAGACTGGAAGAGAAAGAGTTAATGGGAAAGGAAGAAGAAAACAAAAAATGGTAAGATTTTCTCATGGTCCTTTAAAGTCTCTAAAATTTTCTAAAATATTCTCAGAATTTTTCATTTCAATTTAGTCTCTAAGGTTATATCTAAATACCTGGCATTTTTGAAGTTCCCTCTTCAGCTGAAGAACTGCAATGTCGTGTGGTTCATCTTGGACATGGCTGATTGCTTGGTTACTTTTGAATGGGTTAGAAATGTCCTTCTTCATCTCCTGAGTCATGTTGAACCATTCTTGTAATCTCTGTTGCTGACTTTGTGTTAAGTTAACAACATCTTTTAGGTCAGCCAGGAATGTGAAGGTCTCCTCAACACAATTCTGGTAACCAAAACACTCGCCTTGAAGCTGGGCTACTTGCTCTTCAAGAGAATGGATCCAACTCTTATCTTTGTTCCCATCCTGGGATAGCTGGGTAGCCAGGCTCAGGGAACTGGCTTGTTGACTCTGCAAAGCTTGTCGAAGCAGTTTTATCTCAAGTTCCATTTCATCCATCCTGTCCCAGTAAGGGTTGTAGTTTACAATAGGTTTATTTCTGATGTTCCTTGCTCGGTTAGCATATTTGAGAGAACTTAAAGATTCATCAAAATCAGAGGATGATGGGCTGATACATGTTATCATAACAGTCTTAGTATTGCCTCCCAGAGAATCTTTTAGGATTCTGGTAATTTTAGCATCCCTATATGTGTGTACCCTTCCTGCGAGGGTCTCCAAGAGCACTTATTACATTTCTTAAAGCCAATAACCCACTGTTGATCTGAATGGATTCTTTGAATCGTTCTCCTGTATTCCCAGGTTTAGTTGCTCTTTCTGATCCAGCCAGGTCCACAAAATGGAATTTTGAAACAATTTGTTGAGTAGACTGCTGAGATATATCTTGAGTCATTTCCATACTTTTCTGACATGGGGTAAAATCCTGTTGCGTAATGTTGATTGTGAAAACAGCATGAGATCGACTAGAGCGTTCATTCATTTTCGTAGTACCTGTATGACGAGCTGCATTACCCATTTCCAAAAGACTCATCACTTCATCTGTATTCTCCACTGAACATTCCTTGGCACCAACAATCACTTTAAAAAGTAAAAGAATTTTAAGGAACACTAGTTTTCAGTCAAGATGCATTATAAATTTTATTACAGGACAATAATCCTAAATTTTGTAAGACTACCCATTCAACATAGGTACTACCACAAATAAATTGGGAACACTTTTAAAGTATTACAAGAATAGCTTATAATTAGCAATAGTTTGACATTTCAGGGGGAAAAGGATGTATTTTAAAGGAACCAAAATTTAAACTTTACAAACTTAAATGCACAAATTGTAAACACATGGTTACAATTACAATTTTAAACATGTAAGTTAAAAACATTCTAACAGCAGTTAGTTACTAACTATAGAGTATTTTATTATTTTTGCTATAAGCCTTTGTATGTCTATTGTAGCTAAATGTGACAAAATTGTTACTGGCATTTTATATCCTATTAATTTTCTAACAACATGAAGAATTTTTATATAATAAAAGTGGGTTCCACCTTTATTCAATATGAAATGCACAGTAAAAGTGAAGCTTTAGAAAACCTCTTCAGTTCCTTAAGTGAAAAATACAAATCAACTTTTAGTGTTGATCAACACTTTGATTCCATATTTCAAAGATATGTGCAGTTTCATCAAGGTTGGTATTCCCTCCTCCACTGCAGACTAGAAACCCTGACACACATTATTAGTAGATGTCTTCAAGAGTTGATATAGCTCCCAAAAAAGTCATCACCTCCTGGTCAATCTTCTGGTGATCAGTCTATCCAAGTTTAGCTAGTGTGGTCCTTGGATGACAAAGTCTTTCTAGTTGTAGAGGTCACGTGGCAAAGGATAAGGTTTCAGACTTGGAGAATGAAAAATTTGGGTTAAAACCCTGATGCTATTTGTATGACCCTGGGCAAGACATTTACCATCTCTGTACCTAAATTTGCTCATCTGTAAAAAGGAGATAATACTTATTGAACCTGTCTCGGGGTTGTCGTGAGATGTAAATAAGATAATAAACCACTTTGCAAACCTTGTAAGATGCTATATCAATCTCAATGGTTATTATCATTATTATTTTATTTTATTTTATTATTATTGTTAGGAAGACATTCCAGAGCTTGTAATCTCTGCTAGTACTGCCTTCAAGGGCTGAATATAAAGTATGATTGTTAGCTTCGCACAATGATTGGTATAGAGCCTTACAGGAGAAACAATACCTTCATTTTCAAATATCTTGAACATGACTAAACGAACTTTGGCTGTAACTTACAAAGAAAAGTTATAAAAATTCAAATGAAAGAATGTATTTGGATATATTAAGGCATATAAATTGATGCTAGCACAGATCTCCAATCTTGTTTTGGAAAGGAGCTACTTTTTACTTACTTAACTTAAATCTCTAGGTTGATAATAAGACCCATGAGCAAGATACAGATAAAGTGACCATGAGCCACTGGAAAGTCAGAAGTTTCCACCAAAACTCCTGTGTTATTTTAATGCAGGGAAGGAGCCATGACAGTGGCTGGCAGCTAGGTGGCCCAGTGGACAGAGTGCCAGGCATGGAGTCAGGAAAACTCATCTTCCAGAGTTTAAATCTGGCCTCAGACCCTTACTAGCTGTGTGACTCTGGGCAAGTCACTTAACTCTGTTTGCCTGAGTTTCCTCATCTGTAAAATGAGCTGGAGAAGGAAATGGCAAACTGCTCCAGTATTTTTACCAAGAATATCTCAAAGGGTTCACAAAGAATAAGACACAGCTGAAAAATGACTGAACAACAACAATAACCAAAAAAAAAAAAACATGATAGTGGTTGACTCCACACTGATGGTTTACACCTAGGCTCCAAAAATTGATCCATCAATCCACTCTGACCATTTAGGGACTACTGTGCTGTGTGGTTTTACAGTACCCAAAATCAAGCACCATGTACCTAAAACCCTCTATATCACTGGTCTCTGTGACCTCACAGGGTTATATTTGCTTATTTTCAGCACCAGTACCAGTCATTCCAAGACAATTTCAGTGGGTCATTCAAAGACATCTCAAAATAAACCCTTACAATACCCTGCTGTAATATACCAAGGCATCTGTGACTGGTGTCAGAGATAAGCTGATCCAGCATGACCTAGAAAGAAAATATGGCATGGGCATGACATCCATTTTACATTTTCCATAACATGTAGCACATGTTATGGATTATATACAGTATAGGCAAATCTCAACTTAGAGGGGTTTAATTTCTGGCTATCTGCACTTCAGGCACTCAGTTACTAACATCCATGTTATAAACATACAGCAGGCAAGGAGATAACCCACAAGTGAATTTATGTCTATTTGCTTGATGATAACGTTCTCCCTGACTCTGAGCCTCATTTGACTTACATAGCCCTTGCTAAGGTACAAACCTTCCCCATAAACCTCAGTCTTTCTCCCTAAGGCCCTCACACTTTCTTATCCTGTGTGATTCTTATTCATGTCTTCCCATAACTTCTCCAGTACTAGGGAAGAACTTCAGCTATGTAGCCTCTCATGATCACTATATTACTATATAGTTATAGCTCTATAACCAGCCCACATCCTTTTCCAATCATAATTCTTCTGAATGATAACCCTTTATGACACATTTTACGCACAGGTCAACATCGATAATAAGCTGTATTCCATTTACACCCACCACATGTCTCCACTGCCCTTTGGGTCATCCACAAATTTGGTTCTCCAATGATTGTTATGTTCTATGATTTTTAGCTGGAGAATATCAGATGTGAAAGAATAATGGTTAAAAACGATGAGTTTTTTTTTTTTTGTTTCGGGAGCAGCCTGCAATTGTTAAACACACTGCACAATCTCCCAAATGTAATCCAAACCATTGCCTTCCTCCTATTCAATTCTGGGCATAACTCATAGTCCATCTGCCAAGCCTGCCCAAAATATATGTACTGATAGACTAACTTAATGAGTGGTCCATCTAATTACATTTCATAACCTGGAAAATGGGTGTTCTTAATTAACTTGGTTTTTCCTATATGGATTGTTAGGCTGAACTCTTTTGAGATGTGAAGCTGATTTAGGAGACAGGATGAAATCAGCACAATGTTATCTGTGAACACAAGCATTTGGATAGCCTCACTATCTAAGGTAAACTGTTTTCCATTTGAACTGTAGGCTAGACATCTTCCAGGACAAGTGTGAACAAGTTCGATAAACACAACTTCTCCTTCTTTTATGCTCTGCCTAATATTGATAATCAGAGTATCATAGAACAAAGTTATCTTTGTTGTTAAATACATCAAAGAATCTTGTATGAGCCTATATATGTACAAAGACACCTTATCGAATGAAAGCCTACATTTGTAGTCTACATTTGTTCTACTGAGTCAAAGGCTTTTTTTGGAAATCAACAAAAATAAACACAGCAGGTTCTTGTATTCTCTACTCCTTTCATAGGATCATTCATTCAATCATGTACTTGGGTTTTCATAACAATGCTCTTTCCTCGTTCTCCTCCTACCTATCTGTCCACTCTTTGTCTCCTTTGCTGGAAATTCTATGCCCCACTCCTGCCTCTATGGGTGTCCTTCCTCACCTTTCCTCTAGATTACTGTAATATCCTCCTTGTTTTCCCTAATCAGTATCTTTCCCCTCTTCGATCCATCTTCTTTTATCAGCCATCAAAAGCTGTGTCATTTCCATGCTTAAGAAGTTTCAATGACTCTCTATTGCTTCTAGGATAAAACTCCAGTATTTGGCACTAAAAGCCTTTCACAATCTGGCTCCCACCTACCTTTCCAGGCTGATTTTCTATTACTCCCCCTATGTGATTTATGTTCTTGCTATAATGGCTTCTTTGCTGTTCCCCATCCATAATATTCCATCTCTTGCCTCTAGACTTTGTGCTTATAGCAGGAATGGACTCCTACCTACTCCTTGCCTCCTGCAATCCCTAGCTTCCTTCATGTCTCAGCCCAAATGCCAAATCCTAGATAAGGCCTCTCCTGATCTCTTGAGGTATTAGGACCTTCTCCTTCACTCAAAATTCCTTTGTATATAGTTTGTATTTACTCATTTTTACATCAGTTGTGCCACCCCCCTACCCCCACCCCAGGTCCCATGCTCGTAGAATGTAAGCTCCTTGACAGTGAGGGCTATTTCATTTCACATTTGTATTCCCAGCACTTAAAACACTTAGCAAGTGTTTGTTGAATAATTAATCAAGCCTTTGGGGCCATTTTCACTTCCTCTACATAGGGAAGAAGTGAGATGTCCAAGTCCAAAGATAGTAATTCAACTATCATCAATACTGAAAATAGCTTGTCACATAAATGTCAACAGATCTGTTCAATTTTCCAACTGTCTGTTGCCTTCTTTTTATCTTTAAAATGATCTGAGGCTAATATGGCTTCATTCTTCTCACATCAAACTTTCTGTACTAATTTTTCCCTCTGCTCTTCTCTGCTGTTTTATTAAGCAAAATAACTTATTATCTTGGTGATGGTGTGGGATATTGGACAGAGCCTACAGTCAGGAAGATCTAAGTTCCAATCCTGCCTTCACAGACTTAATTGGCTGTGTAATCAAGTCATTTTGCCTCTGTTTCCTCAACTGTAAAATGGGGATAACAATAGCATTCACCTCTCAGAGTTGTTGTGAGGATAAAATTAGATAACATAAGCAAAGTGCTTTGCAAACCTTGAAGCACTATATAAATGTTGGCTGCTATTATTATTATCTTCCAATATTATCCTCCATAATATTTTTGCAAATTAATTTCTACTCTAAACCAATGAGGTCCTTGACTTTTACGTTTTTCCACTTGCTGAGAAGGACTGTGGGATCTTCTGGCCTCTTTATTTTGGCATACGATTTAACATTGATTAAACATCCTAATGAAATGGCTATACTCTGTCATTTATATCTTTTTCTTTATCCACTTCCTAGTTTTCAGTATCAATAGCTTTTTTTGACTGTCAAGTTATATCTATTATTATTGCATGCTATATCTTCATTTCCTATTTATCCTTTCTTCTATGTTGTTGTTGATTTT